AACGTGAGTGACACAGCAGCCAAAGATAATGTTTTCAGCAGACCGAGTCCAGTGGGAAATCTCGCTCTCAGCCCAAGCTGTGCGCTGCCTCCTCAGCGCACGCCAGCTCACATCAGCACGGATGTGAGACTGCAGCCTGAGCGCAGCACAGTAGCGCCGCTCCCCGCGGCAGCAGCAGCCCTCACCCGCAGCCCCGCATGCTCAGGGACGCACGCATTTTCCCTCAGCGCACGCCACCTCACATCAGCATGGATGTGAGCACACAGCCTGTGCGTGGCACAGAAGCGCCGCACACCCGCAGCAGCCCTAAATCTACACGGTTCCGCATGCACGGGGGCGCGCACCTTCCCTCAGCGCATGCCAGCTCACATCAGCACGGATGTGAGCCCGCAGCCAGAGCGCAGCACAGAAGCGCCGCGCCCCCGCGGCATCGGCAGCCCTCACCTACACGTTTCTGCATGCTCAGGGGTGCGTACATTTTCCCTCAGCGCACGCCAGCTCACATCAGCACGGATGTGAGCCCGCAGCCTGAGTGAGGCACACATGACAGCGGTGATTGGCGTCCGTAAATAACGTGACGCAGCATAAACGCGTGCCCGCTCCCCGAACGTTACACGGAGTGGCAACGAGCGGGCGCTCCAGATAGATGGATGAACCGTTTTATCAGTAGGGCATTCACGCTGAAAGTACAGCTCAAACCCCCGTTTGGAGGAACTCTAGAGACGTTTTCTGTCATCTCTAGAACAGATCTCGTCCCCCCCACGCAAAAGCTCAGGAAATTCTGATTAAAAATGTAATTTCTAGAGTCCCAAAAGGAGAGGAAAACACAGGGTTCTACTCTCGTCACTTCCTGGTCCCAAAACGGACCGGAAGGATGAGACTCATCTTAGATTTGTCAATTTTGAACTGTGAGACATTTCCATTCAAAATGCGTCAAGTCGCTCTGCAGCCGACACACAAAACAGGAAGGAGAATTCTGCTTTATCTGGACGATCTGTTGCTGCTGACCTGCTTTTCCAGACAGGTGGCAGCAGTGCAACTCACGTGAAACCGGCAGAGTGATAACAGCTGTTTCTGTCAACAGACTTACGTCACACGTGTCAGACTTCACAGAGGCACATGCATTTCTCGAGCTGTGGGGGCGCTGTGGCCACACCACACAGCAACTCAAATAAATGTTTTTGGAGTGTCACGCGGTTTTTGAATGTCATTCTGCGTCATGAGAACTGGACGCTCCATCCAGAGCTGATAGCTCAGATGTGGCAGAAATTTAGCAAAGTGGCCATGGACCCATTTGTAACATATATGTAACATATACTATATATATATATATATATATATATACATATATATATATATATACAC